TCAGCTGAATTCACCAGGGGGACGACGGGGGGGGGGGGGGGGGGGGGGTGGGTGTGGGGGGAGTTGGGGCCGGGGAGAGGGGAGGGGGTTGGTCAACTGGAGTTTGGGGAAGTCTGAGGAGCATTTGAAAGAAAAGAGTGTGCGCAGACATTTGCACGAAGCATGTGAGTTTGCGCAAAAGAAACTGTAGAGTCACGTCGGTAATGGGACCACACCACACCACACATCACCGTAGGTAGGGCCAGAGGGCGGAATGAACGACCTTTCCCACCACCCCGCAGGACACGGAATGCCATTCAATTTAGGGGACCAAATGTCGTATCCTTCTGTGAGCAGAATTGGGGCATCTGGGGGGAACAGCCCTCTTATGCAAGGGTCTGCATCAAAACCATCCATCGATTTGAATTGATTTGATCGAGTCTGGCAACATTTGGTTACCTCTTAAGAGTTGTTGAAGGAGCAAAGTGGGAGTAGAGTGGGAGTACAGTAGGGGCTGGAGAGTGCTGGTTGTGGTTTGGTGTGACAACATTTTTTGTAATCCGCTTCTGGTTTTTTCTTAAACAATGGTGAGATCGTCCCAGCTAGCTCAGTAGAAGCAAAGCTGTGGTTGCGATAGCGTGGTGCAGTGTGGCTGGGGATCACCCACCCAACCACGCACCAAGCGGCAGGCACTCTGCCCAGCAGCACCTGGGTGCCCCAACTTGTGAACGTACATCGCCCTGGTGTACCTAGGCCCCTTCCGCACCGCACAGTCCGCTACGGTACAGTGTCACGTGGTGTGTCAGCTGCATCTGTTGGTGCCACATCTTCTTGATTTCTATCTGCTTGCCATCCCCCACGTGAATTTTCTCTCCACGCTTGCCAATTGTTGAACCAAAACGCTGAATCCGCCCTTGCGTTTCATAAAGTATCGACCGTGCTGGCCTGGTGGAAGTGCTGGCCCGTGCTGGCCCGGCGTATAGGGGTGTTCTGAAGAGGTTTGTGCAAGATTAGGGCGCATTCCTAACGTGTGTCTGACATCAGGTCATCCGTCCTTAGTCTCTGATTTGTCTCCCCCAATGTTGATTTGCCCTCAATTTCGAGCCACTTCAGGTCTTCCGAGCATCCAAGGACGGATGACCTGATGTCAGACACACGGTGGAATGTACCCGTGTGAATACAGTTTCCTGACAATGCAGATCAAAACTCACCCCAAAAATTTTCCGAATTTACAACGAGGTGCAGTGTGCCCCGTTCTGTACAGAACACTGAAATTGGAATCAGCAACAGCCGTACAGTATTTAGGCCCGATCGGACCGGAATTTTTTCACACCTGATACCCTCTGGTCGGCCAAGCTGTCGTTTTTCAAACGCATCAACTTTTATTGGTCTGGAGAGTTAATGGTCCGCCTGCCCGTTGAGCAAGAAACAGGCAAAAGCTGCACTTCGTTACTGCTTTCAGCTGGTTTCGGAAACCAGTGAATTCAGTTGGTGCTTTCAAGTTCCTAGTGGTTTTGCACTCAAGTACAGTGCACCCGCACCGTACTGAAACCCACTTCAAACGACTCTACTCCTTACATTGGTGCGCAAAAATCCACACTTATTGCTCTACGGAACGTTACTGCACAAAACTCGTGCCCCACTTCGTGCTCCACTCCACCCCAGGAGAATCTATGGGGTGCTGTGCTGGTTCTTCGCAGCGCGTTGCGCAACTCTCCTCGATTGTTGGCAGTCCCGTTGTCCAAATGCCTGACGTTGCAGCAGACATTGCAGCGAGGGACCAAAACGAAAATTATGGCTGGATGAGATCAAATGAGATGAGATTACTTCCTGCCTTCCGAACTTCCCGCACAAGGCTGGATCACAAGCGAAGCAAAGCAATCATGCGCACACATCATTGAAAACAGCCTGTCACCTCCAATCCGCTTTTCCTAGTTCTGACATACTGACAGCAAGGGACGAGTTCTTTCAAAAGTAACAAACTGGCAGCAGCTCTGCCTGCTTTTTGTAATTACTTCCAGGTCCACGCATCGTCTTAGTCGCTTTGCTTGCTGCTCCGCTCGTCGCATGCGTCACGGATCGCCGCCATTGGTACAACCTGTCGGCGCGCAATCAAACCGGTCTTTACTGTACTAATTCTGGAACGCGCCGAGGTTGCACGCAACTCCACTCCTCTTTGGACTTCCCCTCACGCCTCATTGCCGAGGTTACTCGATCCGAGTGCTCGGGGGTTCAGAGTGACAGTAACCGCAACCCCAGCACCGTTAGAACCTCGTAAGGACCTCATCAACCCTCATCGTAGCATCGTCGTCAAACCACCTTGCAACTCGACGTCAGGCCGCGTCGCGCCTCGCTTCGCTGGCGCCCGTGGTCAAGACGGCCTGCAGCGGCGGCTGCCGGCCACCATGAGGGAGATCGGCAGCAGCGGCGCTCGATATTGTAAGTGATCGATAACGTAACCCCTCGAACCGCGGTAATCGTCGGGTCGGGCCGGTCTTTCATCGTTTGTAACAAGTAATCACGTTGAAAATCGAGATTATCATCGTTTTGCATCAAACATTCGTACCAATGCTCGGATCAAGCCTATCTTACGTCGTTTCCGCCTGGATTTTCGATGATTGGAACAAACCCGCGGGCTTGGTGGGCTGAGTTGTCGTAGCAAACTCTCTTCCCTCGCCTGCCTGAGTTTTATCGTGTTAATACATTATTCTGTCGTGCTGTTCCTCGTCGTGCTCGTCGCTCCGACGTGCCCATTGCTTCCCCATCATGTCACTTCGCGCGTTGTGGGCTCAACTGTTTTCGGGAAGCCTATTAACGGACAATCTGGGGCACCCGCTCGAAACACGAAACCCTAACATCCGCATCTCACTCCCCTTGTTCGCATGACATCTCAGCTGCCACTAACTCGCGTCGTTCTCGTTGCATATGACCTCGTTCAGTTTGTCGCCTTTTTTTTTCAAGTTTCCCCCTCTCTCGTCGTTTCGTCTGAATGCGACAGTCTGGATCGTTGCTTTGTCTTGGCAGCGAAGTGATACGACCTGAATCGTTGCCCCTGACCCCCCCCTCCCTGGTGCCTTCAGGACCCTCGGATCCGCTTCCGACGATCTTATTACTAAAAGATCGGACGGCGGATGTTCGATCGGACGAATAAAGCGCATCGAGCGGCGAACGGCTGAAGCAGTGGCCGAATCTTGACGTTTCGTGTGCAAGCAGCGGATTCGCGACAGCAAATAGTACGAATGAGGCGACTTCTGTAGCGATAGCGCGGGATCAAGCCTACAAGCAATCTATATCAGAGGCACCTCGAGGGTCGAGCCAACTCGTAGACGCTTCAGATTTTTGTAGGCGATTATTTTTCAGTCGGAGACGGATCTGGCTATATCGCGGATTGACATTGTTCAGGGCTCCCAACACAAGCCAAGTTGATTTCGCTAGCGCGCGGTTTCGGTCGGGGTTGGGTTTGGCGATCAGCGGATGTAACTCGCATTCGCGAAGGGAGTTGTTGCGAAATCTCAGTGATTGCAGCCGAAGTGTGCTTGCAGCTGTGACTGTAGCGCGTGGGAAATTGGCTCCTCGGCCAGTCCGCTTGACCTTTCGGGGCGTAGATGGGATTTTTGGGTAGCCCCAAGATTCGCTGAAAATAAATCCTCGGATTCTGCAGTCCTCGTAGTCATGGCGGCCTGTGACTGCAACGACTCTAATTAGTGTACCTGAATGTGACATTATCCGAAATCTGACTCGACACAAGTTTCCACCACAACTGCGCTTCTTCCCTAGGTTCCCGTATCCCTCCGCAAATCTGCTGCTGAGTAGAAATATTAGGGTTTCCGCCCTCCACCCCCGTTTTCCCTGCCCCTTCCCGCAGCTGTGCCGCGAATGCTTCTGCGCCTTAGCAGCCCGCCTGCTTCTCCGTAGCTGCGCCGCGCCTCTCCCCCTTTTCCACGCAGCACCCCACCCGCGCGGGCCTGCAACCCCAACCGCGCAATCCATCGGACGATTGCGCGCGTAGGGTTTCCCGCGCCCTCCCCGCAGCAAGCATGCAGCCTTCGCACCGCCCATCCGCGCTCGCCTCATCTCAGCCCCCTCCGCTCCCGCAAGTCTCCCCCTACACCTCACAAGTCTCCTCCTATTCCGCGCCAGTCTCCCCCTACCCCGCACAAGGCCCCCCCTACCCCGCACAAGTCTCCCCCTATCCCGCGCAAGGTTTCAACTATCCCGCGCAAGGTTCCTCCTATCCCGCGCAAGGCCCCCCCTACCCCGCGCAAGGCTCCCCCTATTCTGCGCAAGGCTCCCCCTACCCGGCTCCGCCATCCACTCCGCCCCCGCTCCCCTTTGACATAGTCCCGTCCGCGGAGGGGGAAGGCTTTGAGCGGAAGCGGTCAGGGGGAGGGCCAGGCGGGATGGATGGGGGAGGGAGAAGGGGAGGGGGAGGGGGAGGGGGAGGGGGAGGGGGAGGGGGAGGGGGAGGGGGAGGGGGAGGGGGAACTCGAGCAGGAGGGGGAGCGGGAGGCGGAGAGGAAATGCTTTTAGATTCGGTGCTTTTAATACCGTGTTCCAATAGAGGGGGGTCGGGAGGAGGTTCGAGTGTCCTAAACCCGGGCGTGTTCAGTCACGGCGTGGTTGCTGCAGGTGTGGATAGTAGAAACCCTAGTGCGAACCAGCATCAGCACAACGGGCACAGTCAGCAGCAGCAGCAGCAGTCGCATCAGCAGCAACAGAGTCAGGCATATTGGCGTCAAAGCGCAGGTGTTTCGTCAGGTGCTGCCACTGTTCCAGGTGTCGTTTCTACCGTACCTGCTGTTGCCGTACCTGTTGTTTCCGTACCTGCTGCACAGGAGCATGCTACAGAGCAAGCCGGAGCAATGGCGACAGCAGCAGCAGGAGGAGCTGGAAGGGCAGGAGGAGCAACAGCACCAGCACCAGCACCAGCAGCACCAGCAGCACCAGCAGCACCAGCACCAGCAGCAGCAGCAACAACACCAACAACAGCAGCAGGAGCACCGCTGCCATCCCCGCGACACATGTTCACACGGAAGAACAGCCGGTCGTCAGACATTTCATCTCATCCATCGGTTTTAGAGGTGAGTGGATTGTTAGTCAACCAACTGGTCGATGTTTCAGTCGACTCAAACAGTGTCGACAGCCGGAGCAGCAGGAGGAGCGCCGCTACCATCCCCGCGATACATGTCCACACGGAAGAACAGCCGGTCGTCAGACATTTCATCGCACCCTTCGGTCCTAGAGGTGAGTGGATTGTAAGTGAACCGACTGGTCGATGTTTCAGTCGACTCTAACACCCACAGCAGCAGCACCAGTAGCAGCAGCAACACCGACGACAGCAGCAGGAGCACCGCTGCCATCCCCCCGACACATGTTCACAAGAAAGAACAGTCGGTCGTCGGACATTTCATCGCACCCTTCGGTTCTAGAGGTGAGTTGATTGAACAGCAACTAGGATAAAATTTACCCTCGCACGCACGCACGCACTCTTGCACACGCGCGCACGCATACACACGCACACCTCTTATTGTGTCAGTTATGTGGTTTCTTCTGAACCGCATGTGCAGCAATTGAGGAACGGGTGTAGATTAATAGAGGGTCTGTACAAGGGAATGTTAGAAACTGAGCAGACAAGTGCTGGGAAGATATTATCATGTCATACCATTGCGCCCACCGCCCCCGTCTCTCTTCCCTCTCCCCAGCTAACCTTCCGCGCCCTGCCCCCAAGGGACCTGGCAGCAGCAGCATGTGTGTGCCGCGAGTGGAGAGCAGCAGCCACGAGCAAGCCTCTCTGGCACCTACTGACCCCTTCTAACCACTTTCAACCCCTGCTCACCCTCTGCTCCCCCATTCGTCCGCCTTCCCCAGCTAACATTCCGCGCCCTGCCCCCAAGGGACCTGGCAGCAGCAGCGTGTGTGTGCCGCGAGTGGAGAGCAGCAGCCACCAGCGAAACTCTCTGGCCCCTGTTAACCCCTTCTAACCACTTTCGACCCCTTCTCACCCCCTGCTCCCCCCTCCCTCCCCCTCCAGCTAACATTCCGCGCTCTCCCCCCAAGGGACCTGGCAGCAGCAGCGTGTGTGTGCCGCGAGTGGAGAACAGCAGCCACCAGCGAGCCCCTCTGGCACCGCCACACCATCGCGCTCTGGCCTGCACTTGCAAGCCCTGCCGTGGCCCGCCGTGTGTCCGATTCCTGTGGCTTCTATCTGTTCTACAGGTGAGTCTGCTGCCCTGCCGCTTGTAGTGCCGCTTGTAGGCTTGCTTACACACAGATCACTTCTTACAGCGAAGCCCCTCTGCCACCGCGAAGCCCCTCTGCCACAGCGACGCCCCTCTGCCACCGCGACGCCATCACTCTCTGGCCTGCCCTTCCCAGCCCGGCCGTTGCTCTTCAGGTCTCAGACTCCTGTGCCTTCTACCTCTTCTACAGGTAATGCGTTTGTACAGCTGCCAGCACGTGTATTTTTGTACACAGGTTTGTTGGTCTCTCCCCATCACTGGCACCGCCACACCCTCAGCCCGTGGCTCGCCCTCACCAGCCCTGCTGTGGCACGCCGGGTCTCCGATTCCTGCGGCTTCTACCTCGTTTACAGGTGAAGGGCTTGTGAGGCTGCTGGCACTTGTATCTCTGTACACATGTTCGTCAGTCTCTCTCCTCTCCCTCTCTACCACCGCCACACCGTCGCCCTCTGGCCTGCCCTCGCTAGCCCTGCTGTGGCCTGTAGGGTCTCAGACTCCTGTGGTTTCTACCTCTGCGTCCCCCCATCCTCCGCATCCCACCATCCTTCCCATCGCCCCATCCCCCCTCTTTCAGGAAACGATTTCTCCGCCCGGGTTGGGCCTCCCCCCTTGCCCTTTCACCTGGACGATCTCACGTTCTTCTTCGACCTTTCCTTCCACGGCTCCCCCGTCTTCTCGCAAGCCTTCAAATACGAGGGTGGCCACGCACTCGTCCCCTTCTCACTTTCCATCCCCCGAACCCCCTCTTTTTGCTGGTTTCTGCCCGTCCCTCCTCCCCAACCCTTCCTTCCTCTCTGCTATCCCCTCTCTCCTTCCTTTCAGAAAGCGTTTCCTCCGTCCCGGTCGCGCCTCCCCACTCCCCTTCCACCTGGACGATCTCACATTCTTCTTCGACCTCTCCTTCCACGGCTCCCCCGTCTTCTCGCAAGCCTTCAAGTACGAGGGAGGCCGCGCACTCGTCCCCTTCGCCCACCACACCTTCTCAGACCCCTCCGCCATCTTCCCCTCTATAGAAGCCCTCGATAAGGACTCCTTTCGGCGCTCTTTAGCTGTGAATTGGACGGTTTTACGGAGGACGGACGGGAGGGGGTCGTGTCTGGTGCGGGCGTGTCCTGACAGGGTGGGGCAGGCGTTACTGGTGTTGGATAAGGAGATGTTGCTGCCGCTGCCGGCGCAGCAGCAGCAGCAGAACCAGCGGCGGCAGCAGCAGCGGCAGCAGCGGCTGCATGGGTCAGGAGGGAGCGGTGGGGGACAGAGCGGGTCCAGTGGTGGTGCTAGTGGTGCCGCCGGTGCTGCCGGTGCTGCCGGTGCTGCTGGTGCTGCTGGTGGTGCTGGTGCTGCTGGTGCAGGTGTAGGTGGTGGTGCTACTGCTGCTACGGATACTGCAGGTGCAGCTGCTGCTGCTGCTGCTGCTGCTGCTGCTGTTGGTAGTGGTGGGGGAGGAGCGGGGGAAGGCCTGGTGCTGACTCTTGGCTTAGGCTGTGGGGATGGGGCGCCTGGAGCAGCAGGAGCAGCAGCAGGGGGCAGTGGGAATCAAGTTACGGAGCTGACGCATGGTGCTGGTAATGGGACAGGTCAAATGCTTGATTCATCGTCGAGTAGAGATTCGCAAGCAGGTGCAGCAGGGGCAGCAGGGGCAGGGGCAGGGACAGGAGCAGGGGCAGGAGCAGCAGCGGCACAAGGGGGGCCAGCGGCGCATGACTCTCACTTAAGAGGGAGCGGACCAAAGGAGCAGGTGCAAGTTCCGGCACTTAAGATGGTGTTTAACACTGCGTTAGGGGGGCTGGTGGGACAGGTGTTTTACGGGATGATGAAAGTCTCTTTCACACTACCGCTGCAGGAAAAGCTTGTTCCAGCTAGCAGCAGCGGCAGCATCGGCACTGGCGGCAGCAGCAGCAACACCAACCTAATTGGTGCTGCTGCTGCTGCTGCTGCCGCTGCTGCTGGTGCTGCCGCCGCTGCCGCAGCAGGAGGAGCAGGAGCAGCGGCCAATGTGGAGATGACACCTGTCAATGTGCTGGCTCGCACGGGGGCGATGGAGGTGAATCTAACGGCTCTCAAGGACCGGCTGGGAGGGACTGTGCGGGTGGATATTGCCGGAAAGGAGTTTCTGCTGGTGCTGTCTGCACTGCAGTGGGAGTGAGACTCTGTGTGTAGAGTGAGGAGAGCACGGGAAAGATTGGTTCAGTAAGCGCTCTCAAGGGCTCTCAAGGGCCGGCTGGGAGGGACTGTGCGGGTGGATATTGGCGGGAAGGAGTTTCTGCTGGTGCTTTCTGCTCTGCAGTGGGAGTGAGGAGACTGAGCGGGTCGAGAAAGGGACATAGGATTGGTTGCAGGAGGAAAAGGAGAAACAGGAGGCAGGCAATCACAAGGATTTGCTATTGGTGACGGGCTGGGAGGAACTGGTGCGAAGAGTTTGGCGGTGCTATGCTGTGCGTGCACTGCAGGGGGGATGCGCTGCAGCAGCAGAGCACATAGCATCAGCAGGAATGCAGGGAGAGAAGGATGTGAAGTGCAGGAAAATGGCCAAGTGACTTACTGGGGTTGCCTGGGTGAGATCGGGCATGTTCACTCGTGCTCTTTATGGTGCAGTGGGGGTTGGGGGAAAAGGATGTGAAGTGGAGAGGAGAAGAATGGGGGAGAATGGAAACTTGTTGTTGGCACTGAGGTGGAAGGGAGAGTAGTTGTGAGGATGGCCAGGAGAGCGAGTGGGAGAGTGAGTGGAAAGAGAGAGAGTGAGGCTAGCATAGGCTGGCAAGGGGAGTCTGTGGGTGTTGATATTGCTGGGAAGCAGAGTGTGTGTGTGAGCTTGTGCTGTAAGGGATGGGTGGCAAGGAGAACAGGGAGGGAGTGGAGGTATAGCAGCTTTAATGGCCCAGTTGGTGGTTGGGAAGTGGGGATATAGATACAGTATCAGCTTCCCAGGGACACCGACTGCTGGTGTAGGATGTGTGTGTGAGGCAAACGACATTAGCTAACAAGTGCATTGTGACAGCTGCAGTGCCTCCCTGCTGCTTGCTCTGTAGCTTCCTAATGCAGATTCCTAGGGTTGTGTTGTAGGTGAAATCTTAGGATTGTGAGCAAGCATTCACTACTTCAATGTAGAATAAATTCCTGTGCGGAATGATTTCCCTTCAATAATTGCTAACCATGTTCTGACTGGAATGCAGGGTTTGCGAAAAAACAATCTAGAGGAGTATGTGAAACCATGTGTGAAACCAACATTCTTAGCGAACTGTAACGGGAAGTCGATAGTCTTATGAGAGCACATTTTCAATCGGTACTTTGTTGTGGAATCTAGTTTCCCGCGCAAAAGAACCGTTGGCGGACAAGATGGATGTCACATCCATTTTGCGATTCTCGGAATCACAAGCATGATGGCCATCAGAATTCGCGAATTGCGACGACAGCTCCGTTCTTTCGCCGCCAGTCTCACGTAGTCAATTGAGGCACGAAGTTCTTCGCGACATCGATATTTTCTTCGCGCGAGCTGTCGCCGCGAGCCCCCTGATGGTGAAGTGTGCGAGGCTCACACCCCTCAGTCAGCATCCTTCCTGCTCCACCCCACTCCACCTTCCATAGCTTTCACTAGCATTTGTCAGTGCCAGAACTCCCCACGGCATTCCGGGTTAGGAGAAAGTGACATTTTCTGAAGCCGTTGTCGTCGTAGCGCTAGCATCTGTTATTTCGTGCTGAAATGCAAATCGGTGCTCATAGTTCAACTTTGACCAGGGACCCAGTGATTTTATTGCTGTGTGATTTCGTACTGATCGAGCTTCACCCTAATCCGAGTCAGGGGTGACAGGTGTTTGAACTCGAGCATGAGCTCCCCACCATCTGACGCCATAGACCGAATCCTGGAAGAGCTAACGTCGAACAAACTCCCTTCCGCTTCCTTAGCCTCAGACCCTGTCAGTAAATCCGTCTCTAGCACCGCCGGTAGAACAGACAGCAGCGATACCCGGACGGATCTTGACCGTTCAGGAACGGATCAAACGGCTCACAACCTTGTTGATTCGACGAGGAGTCCGCTGGCGTCGGAAGCTCTAGTCGACGCCCTGGCGGTTAACGGGGATGTTAATGGAGGGTCGGGAAAGCGGAAAATAAAGAGCAGTAGCGAGTTTCAGGCTGCAATGGAGAGTCTGATGTCGCCGGCGTACCAGTCGGCGTCGGAGTCCATCGATGCGTCGCCGTCGTACACGCCGACTGCTCCGTGGACTGGCAGCCTGGGGAAGAAACCAACACCGCCTAATGTAAGCTCCTTCTGAGTGTGGCCTAAGAAAAACTTCAGGAGGTGCACCTGATGTCACAGCGAGTCGGCATATCAGTCAGCGTCAGTTGTCTGAAGCGGTTCAATCGTAGGCATCCGTTGTTGCAACAAGTCAACCCCGGCGTACCAGTCAGCGTCGGAGTCCATCGATGCGTCGCCGTCGTACACGCCGACTACTCAGTGGACCGGCAGCCTGGGGAAGAAACCAGCACCACCTAATGTAAGCTCGGTCAGTATGCGGCTCTTGGTATCCGCCAAGATCATAAATCTGGTCTCGTTCACGAACCAATGGGTCCGAAGCCTTTTGCGAACGTCAGTTCGTTATTGTCAAGGAACCAGTCTGGACCAATGGCGTCATTAGTCCGTCTGGTACCGCCACTGACTGGGTTTGGTGTTGCCAGCGCGTTCGAACCACTCCGGCGTCGTTAGCGCGGTCAGCTTATAGAGCTAATAACTGTCAGAAACGTTTTTGTTGGCAAATGGGTCCGGCGTCAACCGTGCACGGACGCTGTTTGGTTCCATAACTCCACGTTCAACCGCCGCTGCTGAAATAGCGAACCTTCGGATGGCCCTCCACGTTCAATCATAGGATGGCTCTCTGGTCTTATTCACGATGCCATGTCTTGGATTGTCTCTAAAGCCCTTCTTCCTCGATTCAGCCTGTATCCTTGCCATGTGATTCCTGTCCGTTACTCTGACATCCGCCACTGATAAATGTCCGTTACTCCCACCTCGCCCATTGCCCCGTGTTTTGTTGCGTCGCCCGGCAGAGCTCCAGCAGGGCCAAGGGAGTCGCCGATCTGGAGAGAGAAATAGAGGAGCTCCGAGCGAGCTACCAACAGGTAGGGTATGGATGTGTCTCACGAGTCCTTTCTACTGCCTCGCATGAGAATCCTCTCTATGCTTGCTCCTCGTCAACCCTATTCTTTATTTCGTTGGGCGTGATGTTTCTCAGCGTGAGTCTGTGACCGGTTGTGGCTGTGTTTTCTCGCCAATGCTGCGCGTCATATGGGAACGGGACGATGATATTTCGCAATGACCGTGTGAATGTTGGGGCGACCTATGAGTACCCACGTGTATTGGGGTGACCCTCGAGTGCTGGTGTATTGGGGTGACCCTCGAGTGCTGGTGTATTGGGGTGACCCTCGAGTGCTGGTGCATCAGCGTTGACTGTTGAGTGGTTCACACGTGCAGTTGTTCAAGGAGGGATGCTTTGGAGGACCTGTTGCTGCAGTTTTTTTTTTTTTTGGGCGCTTCTGCAATGACCTTTGAGTGCCTGTATACCCGTGTTGACCTTTGCGTGCCCTTGTGTGAGAGTGGCTCACACGTGCAGGTGTGCGAGGAGAGGGATGCGTTGGAAGACCTGCTGCTGCAGGAACAGCTCAAGAACCGAACGCCAGCGGTAAGCAAACCAACCTTCACTGATGTTAATGGTGACACGAGCACAGCAGCCGCGAGTGAACCGAAACCAGCAAATGTTAGATGCACTGTCATAACTGCACATCCCTTCCCTAGCCAGCGATCCCGCGCTGGAGTGGAAGCTGTATGTTCTGCTGCATACACTCTTTCATGAATCTCTTACTGCCGTACCATATCCCGTGTCATTTTCCCTCCACTTTGTACCCCTCTTCATGCCTCTTCTCATGCCCCTTCTCATGTCCCTCCTCCTGTTACTCCCGTTGCCAGGACAAGCAGTTAGAGGAGGCCAAAGCCCATGCAGCAGCGTTGGAGCTTGAGCTAAGATCCATGGCTGCCAGATGCGGTGAGTTGAGATCCATGGCTGCCAGATGCGGTGAGTTGAGATCAACGGCTGCCAGATGCGGTGAGTTGAGATCAACGGCTGCCATATGCGGTGAGTTGATATACATGGCGACCAAAAATTGGAGACTTTGGAGTCTGTACTGAGACGTTACAGTACCATATTCTACCACTGTAACATGTCAAAACCAATTAATGTGTCATGTCTCAAAAGTTCAACTCGTCCCATCTTCCCTGTACCATCCGTGCCTGCACTTCCATCCCCCTGAAATTCGGGCAGAGGAATGGAAGCGCCGGGCAGCGCAGCGGGCAGCAGAAATGAATCCAGCCATGGTGCAGGCACTGCTGGAGGAGCGGCTGGAAGATTTGGACGAGTCAGGGACGATCAAGATACAGGTGAGCTGTTTTCCAGGCATGATTAAGGTACTGATGAAACGTGTTGAGGTTTCTTGGTACTATGATATCTGAATCTTTCCATCTTCACCAACTCCCAACCCCTTGTTTCACTGTTCCTTCAACCCGACCCTCATACTATTAACATGTGCAGCCTCTGATTTCAGCTCCTTTTGCTGAATTGATATCATTTTGCCATCTTGTGTCTACTTCTATTTTTTGCTCGCCCTGTCCTACTCCATACTGTTTCTCTGTCACTCGTTTCTTCCCCCTGTTTAAAGTGCCCTGACCGTTCCCCGTCCAATCCCCATGGCTTACTCTCCCATAACCCCTCTCGCAGATGGAAGTGGCTCGCTTGCGGAACGAGCTGGCTTAATCTGAGGTGCTGCGCTTTAAGCCACCCTCCCCACCCCTTCCTCTCAATCACTCAACCCCACAAATATCCCTCCTTCCCCATGCCTCTCTCAGATGGAAGTGGCTCGTTTGCGGGACGAGCTGGCTAAATCCGAGGTGCTGCGATTTGAGCTCTTCCGCAGCACACAAGAGGGAGCAGGTGGGCATGATGAGGGCCAGGATGGAGCAGGTAGGGGCGTGATGAGTCGTTTATGGGACTGTGGACCAAATGGGGATGATGAAACATGTTTGGGGATTTTTGGTTCTATGGATTAGGTAGATTGCTACACACAAGTACCTTAGACTTGAGGCCCATGTGTTACAAGTTTGGGGGGTATGCTTATGCTTATGACCAAGTGCTCATGTTATCTCGTAACTTCCTTCCCACCCTCCCATCTGTACCAGCGACGAACAGCAAGTGGGAGGCGGAGGAGGAGGGTCTGAAGCAGCAGATGGAGGAAGTGGATGCAGGCAGGGAGATCAACAGGTGGGAAAGCTGGAGGGCATGATAAGGGGTTGGGAGCGTGATAGGAGTATTCAATGAGCCTGATAAGAGCTCTGTAAGAGAATGATAAGAAGAATGTTAGGAACATGCTAGGAGAATAGTACAGACACAGTAGGTATGTATTTTCTTCGTCCCTTTACTTTCCCATATCTTCTTTTGTTCCTGTGTGTCCTCGTTATGGGTGATTGCAGTAAGAGCATTGATGAGATCCCAGAGACCACCGTGTGGAGAGAAGCCCACAGCATGGTACGATGTAGTGCACTGTGGTGCGGTGTGGTTCAATGGGTTGGCCTGGGGTGTGTTTTAAGCAATCCAAGTGCTCGTATGGTGCAGTAGTGTGTCAAAATGTGCAGTTTGGTGTAGTGTGGTATGATTCTACGAGCATGGACAGATCCATGCATCACTGGTTGTGTTACCGTTCGCCTCACCACCACTCACTGCCGTTCCCCAACCCCTCCCACCCCCTCCCACCCCTCACAGCAGGATGTAGCAGCGGGCTTGATGCAGAAGCTGCGTCCCTGAGCCAGCAGGGCGTGGTGCGGCTCTCAGAGGCAGTAGTAGTTGCCTTGATGCAACAGCTGCTGGTTTTCTGCCGTAATCAACTCCCATACCTCGTTACCCGGCTCAATCCCTGCGTTGCTATGTTCCTGTGTCGCCCATCTCAGCAGGAAGAAGCAGTGAACCTGATGCAGGAGCCACAGGAGATTGGGCAGGCTTCTCTTCAGCCTCCTTATCCCCTTAATTGTTGGCCTCCATATCCCCCTTATTGTGTGCCTCCTTATCCCCCCTCTCCTCCCGTCACAGCAGGAAGAAGCAGAGGATCTGATGCAGGAGCTGCTGGAGATGGGGCAGGCGTCTCTGAGCCAGCAAGATGTGGAGCGACTGTCAGAGGCCGTGGAGGTATGCGGAGTTTCAGCCATGAAGGATAGGACCAAAAGGGCCTGAGCGAGTAGGACGTGTGTGGAGCGAGAGTCAGAGGCTGTGGAGGTATGCATAGCCCCCGAGTCGCGTCACAGGCATGTGTAGGTGAGGGTAGAAGCGTCTGAGAGGTTTACTTACCAGCCGCCAGGAACAAAGGGCAGGCGGGCCTGAGGCAGCATTTTGTGAGGCGCCTGTCCAAAGCAGGGGAGGTATGGCTGGTCCCTAAGGACCTCGCAATTCTGCATATTGGTTGGTAGAAGTGGCACAAGCTTGTCACAGTGAGCAAGAATGGGTAGAGGCAGCCGTCCCTGAACCAGCAGGATGTGTAGGGAATGTCGGAGGCATTGGGTAGGGGGAGGCATCCTTTGCCTGCATTTAATGTAGGCGCCTCAAAAGACCCCTTGCTCCCATCACCACTCCCTTTCACAGGCTGCAGAGCACAGGGCAGTGGAGGCCGAGAGGAGGGCAGCGCAGGCAGAGAAAGAAGCTTCTGAGAAGGCGTTGCAAATAAGGGTGCTGGAGGCGAAGCTAACAGCACTGCTGGTGAGACAAGGCAATGTGCTGCCCTGCTTTGCTTCTTGGAACAATCTCAAAAATATGTCAACATTTGCCCTTGAGGCGCCAATAGTTATTTATTTGCTGGAGTTTAACTCTATTTTACTAGAATAATTTCTCCTCCATCCATCCCCTTGAACCTCTCCCCACCTTTGTTTGACTGTCTCTCCTCACCTCACTCCCTTCCTCCTCTTCCCCCCTGCTCTTATTGCCATTTCTCCGCTCCACCCTTTCCTCTCCTCTCCTCCTTCCTGTCCTCCTCTTCCATGCCTTATTTCCTCCTCTCCCTGCTTCCTTTCCTTTCCTTCCCTAATTCTTTTCCATCTCTCCCTTCCTTCCGTTCTTGTCTGCCTTCACTGCCTGTCTCTTCTTTCCTCTCTCCACGTCTTCACATAAAATTCACGTTTTTTCCTGCAGGGAGGAGAAGACCTTTCAGCAGTCGCTTCTGCTCCTTACCACCACCAAGCCCTGTCCTCCTCCTCCCTTTCCTCCTGTCCTCTTCCCTCCACCTCCACCACTGCCAAAAGCAACCCCGCCACTGCCACTTCTGCGCCCATCCAAGTCCCAACCACCACCAATGCTTCTGCTTCTGCTGCCATTTCATCCGTCCATGCTCTGGCCAGTGGAATCACGCCACGGGTCAGCAACACTGATGACGTGGCAGGACAGGCGCGCGACGTGTCGAGGAGGAGAGCTGACGTGGCGAGGGAGAGTGCTGGGAGAAGGGAATCCGTAATGGTGATTGGAAGTGAAGATGGGGCCAGTGCTGTTGGCAAGGGGATTGGTGGGATCAGGGGGGTCGGGAGTGAGGTGGAGAGCAGTGCAGGGGAGAGTAAGGGGGAAAGTGCGGAGGAGATTGGGGGGGACAGTCTGAAGGAGCTTGCAGCAGCACAGATTGCAGATGTTGAGGAGATTCGGGAGATTGTTCATCGTGTTCAGGTATGCACGTTTCCCTTATGTTACACTCCTTTTTCGTGTTTGTATGGTAGCTTGCCTTATTTCTTTCTGAGTTTGTTTTGTCTCTGCCATTTTCTGTTTTTTTTTTTTTTTTTTTTTTTTTTTTTTTTTTTTGTCATGAAACGCTTGTCTCTTCTTTCTGTGCTCACCTATTGATACGCTTTTGCTTTGTCTTTCCAATGCAGGGGCAAAATCGGCTCACTCATCTACTCTTGACGGTTGTCTTTGCGGCATCGGTCCCAAGGGTTGTCGACATGGTTAAGAACCTCCTGGGAAGCAAACAACGGCCACGGTACACACGAATCACAACCCGGGCAGGCCGGCCTGAAACTTTTGGTGAACGGTTTCCAGCCTAGAATGAATGAAAAAAGTGGTTTCCAGCCTAGTATCGACATGGACGCAGGTATCCCACAGAGCCGTAGATAGAGGATCAGTCAGGGAAAAGCAGTTCATAGTACGGTACTGAAAAGGGCAATTGTAACAATATATTAATGATTACATAGCCTAGCTATATGGAGCTGCTTCACAAGCTATCCAGTGTATCTACATATAGAGGGTGAATTCAAGATGGATGCATTGGGGTAGCCTGGGCCGGAATAATGGGTCAGGAAAATTGATAAGTCAAAGTACATCTGAGTTTTCCGCGTGTGAAATGTAATGGTTCTGTTTGGTAACCTGAACGTTGTTTGTATCGCATCAAGCTTGCAATGGACACTGTACCTTGAAATTCCCGCCAAGCTCCTTCGCGCTTTGGTGGCATGGTGTTCTCGAGGCGCATCCCTCTTATACCTCTGTCAGTTCATTTGTTCGCTCCCGGCAGGGTGTAGTTTGTTTCCAGTTTGTTTAGGGTAATTGTGTAACGTGTTGCGCGTTGCGTGCTATGCGTGGCAGACAGATCCCAGCTTCGTCGACGCTAGTTCGCAGCCTGCACGTGTGCGAACACGTGAGGTGATCTAACATGTCACAGTGGCGACGTTAAGCGCGAAGCGATGGCAGCTGCTGCGTATTTTCTTCTCTGTTTGGCGGTCTCTCTCGTGTCTGCTTCACCGGTGTTACAAGGCGAAGGAGCTGAGGAATTTATAACGGGAAACTCGCCAAGAGGTGATTCGCTAAGAAATGATTCGCTAAAACGAGACGGTCAGCAGGCGGGTGGTGGACGACGTTTACTGCAACAGGATGGCCGGAAGGTTTTAGACGGAGATGGACGGCAAGCAGGCGGGTTCAGGTGGGAGGAGGTGGGCGGCGAGGCTCGTCGCGGAGTGGTGTGGTGGATGCATCTGTCCGACGTCCACGTCAGCGTGCACGTGCCGTCGAGAGCCAATGATCTCCTTGTGCACCTCGTGCCAGCTGTCCGCGTTATAGCGCCTGCTGCGCTTATAGTGTCTGGGGATCTCACAGGTGCGTTCGTGCGTGCTGATGTGGGTTACATGTGAGCGCTGATGCTGTTTCATATCCGTGCTGACGCGGTTTCATGTGCGTGCCTATGCCTCACTACGCCCCATCCCATCATGTTTTATGCGTGTTTCTTAGCTTCTCTATCCCCCTCTGATATTTTTTTAAACCGCCCCTGTTGTTGTCTCATGCCTTGTGTCCTCTTTCCCCCCCCTCCCTCCCCTTCCCTCCCCTTCCCTCCCCTTCCCCCCATTTCATCCGCTTCAGAATCAAAGAACCGCCAGCGCACAACAACAGCCCAGAACGAGTCAGAATGGCAAGCATACTCCCAAGCAATGCACGCCATCAGCACCGCAATCAACTCCGCCCACCCGTCCACCTCCCCCTCTCCACCACTCTCCCTCACCCCTCAATCCCAAGAAATGGAAGAAACTCAGAATTACCCTGTTTTTCCCGGGCGTTCCTCGTGCATACCCTTCCCCCGGGTGCTGGATCTGAGGGGCAATCATGACTCGTTCAGTGTGCCGATTCGGGGCGGCAAGGGGGATTTTTTTGGGCGGCAGAGTGTCAGCGCACAGTGCAGGAGGGGGGGTGTGCAGGGGCTGGTGATACGGCCCTTCGAGACCAACTCAGAGAAAGGTGAGAAGTGGTGGGGAGTGGTGAGAGTCGTTCAGTGTGCCAATTCGGGGCGGCAAGGGGGATTTTTTTGGGCGGCAGAGTGTCAGCGCGCAGTGCGCGAGGGGGGGCGTGCAGGGGCTGGTGCTGCGGCCCTTTGAGGCAGACTCGGGGAAAGGTGAGAAGTGGTGAGGAATGGTTGGAACTGATGAGAAATGGCGAGGATCGTTTTGTAATATAGTGGCATCCTGCGTGGGCATACGGGATTTTCCCGACTTCAATGTCGCTGCTCACCCTGCGCCACCCCACCCCACTCTCTTTCCTCTCTCGTCCCCGCCCCACCCCGTCCCTCTCCTCTCTTGTCCCCGCCCATCAGAGCACCCTCTCACTTAGTGCTTGCCCCATCCTTTTGAGCCGCCTCAAAAGGCAACCCACGTGGGCATCAGGGGACTCTCTCACTTGGTGCTTACCCCATCCTCTGTCCTTCTCCGATCCCTCTCCTCGTGTGCCCCAGCATCCCCATCCCCTCCCATTTCCCTGCTCCCTGCGTGGGCCTAAGAGGACCCTCTGACTTTCAACGTCGTTTCCCATCCCTCCTCACCATCCCACACCACTCCACCATCTTACCCCGCTTTCTCCTCTCCCTGTGCCCGCTCCTCCCCTGCGTGCCCTCCCAGCATCCCCATCCCCGCCCATCCTCCTCCTAGAAATCGACATTGCGCCCCGTGTGGGCATCAGAGGACCCTCCAACTTCCAATGTCATCACTAAAATACCGGCATGCCCCTCTCTTGCCCCGCCCTCTCCCCTTCTGTCCCCCAGCATCCCCATCCCCGCCCATTCTCCTCCTAGGCATCGACATTGCCCCCCGGGTGGGCATCAGAGGGCCCGCCAATTTCCAACATCATCACTAAAATACCGGCATGCCCCACTCGTGCCCCTCTCTTGCCTTCTGTTCCCCAGCATCACCATCCCCGCCCATTCTCCTTCTAGGCATAGACATCGCGCCCCGCGTGGGCATCAGAGGACTTGCCAACTTCTTCGGCCATCCCACCACGTCTGACCTGAATGCTCTAGACACCTCTTTGCATCTGCATGGCCCTCTCCCTCCCCCTGCGTGCCCTCCCAGCATCCCCATCCCCTCCCATTCTCCTCCTAGGCATCGACGTTGCGCCACGGGTCGGCATCAGAGGTCCCGCCAATTTCTTCGGCCATCCCAACTCGTCTGACCTGGACGCGCTCCCACCGTTTTGCACCTGCATGGCCCTCTCCTTCCCCCTGTGTGTGTGTGTGTGTGTGTCTCCCCAGCATCCCCATCCCCGCCCATCCTCCTGCTAGGCATCGACATTGCACCCCGCGTGGGCATCAGAGGGCCCTCCAACTCTTCTTCGGCCATCCTCAATCTACCCCACTCCACCCACCATCTTGCCCCTTGTCTCCCAGCATCCCCATCCCCGCCCATCCTCCTCCTAGGCATCGACATCGCGCCCCGGGTCGGCATCTGAGGACCCTCCAATTTCGTCATGCTCATGCTCCAATTTCGTCTCCCCCCCACCCTCCCCCTCTCTTCGTTTGCCCCAGCATCCCCATCCCCCCCTATCCTCCTGCTAGGCATCGACATTGCTCCTCGTGTCGGCATCAGAGGGCCCGCCAATTTCTTCGGCCATCCCACCACGTCTGACCTGGACGCGCTCGATTCCGCTCTCAGCCAATGGGAGGCCGCCACGTCAGCGCTTCCAGCCGCCCCTGCCACGTCAGCCTCATGGAACACGTCAGCACAGGGATTTTCCTCCTCAGCCCCCGCCTCAGCCCCTGGCCCTGCTGTTGTATTCTCGCACTACCCTCTCGCTTTCACTACTCGCGAGCCTTCCTCCTCCCCGTCCTCTCCCACTCCCTCTGCCGCTCCGCGTCGAATGCACGATATACTGTCGAGGCATGCAGCATCAGCAGCAGCAGCGGCAGCAGCAGCAGCAGCAGCAGCAGCGGCAGCAGCGGCAGTGCGTGGGTTTGCAAACCGCATGGTGCTCGTGAATGGGCATCTGCATTGGACGTTTGGGCGGCACCTGTACAGGTGGCACACTGTGAGTGGTGGAGGGGAGGGGAAGGGCGAGAAGGAGGGAGAGGGGGAAGGGGATGCGGATGCGGATGGGGAGTGGGAGGGGGAGGGGGAGGGAAAGGAGAGGAGGGAGTGGCGATTGGGTGGGTCTGTAAGAGGAGGAGCAGCAAGCAGTGGTGGGGCAGGAGTGGGGAGCGGTGCAGCGGGGTTGTGGGAGTGGGAGGTGGGTGACTGGCGCGTCAACAGAGTGGTTCGCATCATGGCCCATGACCCAGTGACTGGCCTTCAATTCACCGACTTGCAGCTACTGAGTCCCATCCTCCAACAATATAGTGCTGCCCCCGGCACACCAGGTGAGGGTTTGCACTCGCACTAGCTCCCCAACCTGCAGTGAGGCAGCAACATGGCCCGTAATGCGCATCATGGCCCATGACCCGGTGACTGGCTTACAGTTCACGGATGTTCAGCTGCTGAGTCCCGCTCTTGAACGATATAGTGCTGCCCCCGGCACACCGGGTAAGGCCTTAATTCACCGACTTGCAGCTGCTGAGTCCCGCTCTTGAACGATATAGTGCTGCCCCCGGCACACCGGGTAAGGCCTTAATTCACCGACTTGCAGCTGCTGAGTCCCGCTCTTGAACGATATAGTGCTGCCCCCGGCACACCGGGTAAGGCCTTAATTCACCGACTTGCAGCTGCTGAGTCCCGCTCTTGAACGATATAGTGCTGCCCCCGGCACACCGGGTAAGGCCTTAATTCACCGACTTGCAGCTGCTGAGTCCCGCTCTTGAACGATATAGTGCTGCCCCCGGCACACCGGGTAAGGCCTTAATTCACCGACTTGCAGCTGCTGAGTCCCACTCTTGAACGATATAGTGCTGCCCCCGGCACACCGGGTAAGGCCTTAATTCACCGACTTGCAGCTGCTGAGTCCCACTCTTGAACGATATAGTGCTGCCCCCGGCACACCGGGTAAGGCCTTAATTCACCGACTTGCAGCTGCTGAGTCCCGCTCTTGAACGATATAGTGCTGCCCCCGGCACACCGGGTAAGGCCTTAATTCACCGACTTGCAGCTGCTGAGTCCCGCTCTTGAACGATATAGTGCTGCCCCCGGCACACCGGGTAAGGCCTTAATTCACCGACTTGCAGCTGCTGAGTCCCGCTCTTGAACGATATAGTGCTGCCCCCGGCACACCGGGTAAGGCCTTAATTCACCGACTTGCAGCTGCTGAGTCCCGCTCTTGAACGATATAGTGCTGCCCCCGGCACACCGGGTAAGGCCTTAATTCACCGACTTGCAGCTGCTGAGTCCCACTCTTGAACGATATAGTGCTGCCCCCGGCACACCGGGTAAGGCCTTAATTCACCGACTTGCAGCTGCTGAGTCCCACTCTTGAACGATATAGTGCTGCCCCCGGCACACCGGGTAAGGCCTTAATTCACCGACTTGCAGCTGCTGAGTCCCGCTCTTGAACGATATAGTGCTGCCCCCGGCACACCGGGTAAGGCCTTAATTCACCGACTTGCAGCTGCTGAGTCCCGCTCTTGAACGATATAGTGCTGCCCCCGGCACACCGGGTAAGGCCTTAATTCACCGACTTGCAGCTGCTGAGTCCCGCTCTTGAACGATATAGTGCTGCCCCCGGCACACCGGGTAAGGCCTTAATTCACCGACTTGCAGCTGCTGAGTCCCGCTCTTGAACGATATAGTGCTGCCCCCGGCACACCGGGTAAGGCCTTAATTCACCGACTTGCAGCTGCTGAGTCCCGCTCTTGAACGATATAGTGCTGCCCCCGGCACACCGGGTAAGGCCTTAATTCACCGACTTGCAGCTGCTGAGTCCCGCTCTTGAACGATATAGTGCTGCCCCCGGCACACCGGGTAAGGCCTTAATTCACCGACTTGCAGCTGCTGAGTCCCGCTCTTGAACGATATAGTGCTGCCCCCGGCACACCGGGTAAGGCCTTAATTCACCGACTTGCAGCTGCTGAGCCCCGCTCTTGAACGATATAGTGCTGCCCCCGGCACACCGGGTAAGGCCTTAATTCACCGACTTGCAGCTGCTGAGTCCCGCTCTTGAACGATATAGTGCTGCCCCCGGCACACCGGGTAAGGCCTTAATTCACCGACTTGCAGCTGCTGAGTCCCGCTCTTGAACGATATAGTGCTGCCCCCGGCACACCGGGTAAGGCCTTAATTCACCGACTTGCAGCTGCTGAGTCCCGCTCTTGAACGATATAGTGCTGCCCCCGGCACACCGGGTAAGGCCTTAATTCACCGACTTGCAGCTGCTGAGTCCCGCTCTTGAACGATATAGTGCTGCCCCCGGCACACCGGGTAAGGCCTTAATTCACCGACTTGCAGCTGCT